ATTGACTGTTCTGTTTTTTTAAATTAGTTACAATTGAGTAGCATACATTATTAAATAGCCCCAAATAATTTGTTAACTTATAAGCATCCAGTTATTTTGCATGGCTAACTGATATAAACTGTGTATAAATTTAAATGAATTTTTAACTGTTAAGACTTAACATATAATTAAGCAGACAATGGTTGAGTCTAATAATTTGATCTCCTTAGGTTGTTATAACTTTCTGTGGACTTTTCTCCAAATTTGAATTGTTTGGTTTTCCTACCTGTTATCAGATGCTGATAAACAGATAAGGAAACATGTAAAAAAGGGCTGTTTTGTTCATACTGCTTCACACTGAAAATCTGTGATAGAAGTGGGTGGAAGGGGAGAAATTTTATTCATACTTCTCCAGTAGTTCTTTGCCAGTCTTGTAGTTGTGTGTTGTCATCTTACAATGCACAAAAATCTTTTTAGAATTAAAAAAATGGTATTTCTTGCTAGTCATATTTTTTTTCTTTCCTTGGCACAAGGTATGGATAATAACGTTTCTGTCTTTTTAAAATTAAAAAAATGGTATTTCTTGCCAGTCATATTTTTTTTTCTTTCCTTGGCACAAGGTATGGATAATAACGTTTCTGAATGGTGAGACACCTCAAATGACTTAAACAGGCTATCCCAATCCAGTACAAGTTGCAGTTTTATACCACAGCATCTCTCACTTTTTTGCATTTTCTTTAGAAAGATTATTTTATACTTTGTTCTTTTTTATCACTCCAGGCTGTAAATTTGGTTTGGTCTAGTAACCATGAGTTATGTGCTCTGATTCTGCATGATATTTGAAGATTAGCTTATTATGCAAGTCGTCCCATTGATTTTCATGGTTGCAGAAATAAAGAAGTTATGTAATGGTTGCCATGACTACATAATGTAGGTAATCTAAATCTATTTTAACCAATACCTTATTTGGTGTATCTAAATTGTGGCAAGAAATTTCCTTTTTAAATATACTTTACTGGGTTGTTTCCTTATCAGTAAGAGAGGGTCTTCTGGCTAAATTATGTCCTCAGTGGCACTTGTGCTAATACATTCCATGTATTAAAATGTTAATACTGTAGTACAATGTTATGCATATCAGTGATTTAAGGCCTGAATTTGAGGCATGTTATGCTGCAAATTGTGAGAGCCTCTCTCAAAGGAGTTTTAGGTCCTGTACCAGCTAGGTACGTAAGCTGACTATGAATGGATGTTGAGTTTTGTCAGCTAACTCTTTTAATACATGATATGCTTAATAATCTCTATTTTATGTCTCCCTGCATTCCATAATTCTGCAGCCCATAATTAGTCCTGAAATGTACTCCTTGTCGCAGAAATGTTTATTAAAATGTTTGCTTTAATTAAAATAATATTTCTAGGTCTTATGATTGTGGCGATAACCTTGAACATGTGGAGGCAGCTTAAACTGAGGGTGTAGAAGCAGAACTGCTTCATTTCTCTTGCTCAGAGGCTTTAAGATTTCATAGTTCTGTGGCTTCTGGACTTGACTAGTTTTGAAGATCCAAATTCTGTTATTGGGAGATGGAGTTAGTACTGGGTTTCAACCATTCTGCTTGGTGTCTTCCTATCTGGCTAGGACTTACTTTCAGCTGCCTCTAGCTCTCCAGCTTTTCTTTCAAGAGTTAATTAGATTACAATGCATTTTCTCTGCACTGTGCGCTGAACTGGAGACCACAAGGTCAGACTGTGAGACCTAGAGTCCAGATTGGAGGCAGTAAACGTGGGCTACCTGGAGGCAGGTAGGCTGTCGGGAGAAAAATGAGCAAGAGGGGACCAACAGATACAGGATGCAAGCTCCAATATCCCTGGCATGTGGAGGGAAGGAGATTTTGTGCTGGGCCACTTGGACAATATTGTTCTTTCAGTTGTTTAGCACTTAGACCTGTAAGTGGGGGTGGGCGAAGGGATTAAAAATAGAAAATAAAGTGTTTTGAAATTAAACCTAGGAACTGAAATTTCAGGAACCAGAAGACTGGACTAAAGGGTTTCCTCTACTTTAATTGTGAAGAAATAGCTTTACGAAAAAGATGATTAGTAGGTACTCTAAAAACGTGTGGATAAACTCCAAGTCAGAAGTAAAATCTGATACTTGGAAGACCTTTTTGACAAGTCACTTGATAAATAAAAAGTACTTTTCTTGTCCATGCATCTGACAAAGTGGTTTTTACCCACGATAGCTTATGCTCAAATAAATCTGTTAGTCTTTAAGGTACCACAGGACTCCTACTTGTTTTTATAGATATATACTAACACAGCTACCCTCTGAGACTTCTCTTGAGGAGCTAGGCATAGTAATTATTCGGCTGTGGAGGAGGGAGCGTATTTGTCATACTGTTAGTAATGAAGCATGAATGCTCTGAAATATGAGCAGCTGCAGTCTTGCTGCTGTTATGTTTGTAGCTCTCATTTTCTGTGAGGTAGGGGAATTTGAGGCTAGCAAGCTGTAGTGTGACAAGTCTATTTGTTCTAGTCAGGGTGGTGAAGATTGGTGATAGTTTTATCACACTGTTCAGAGAAGAGGGATGTCCTGTGAAGTGCAGCTCCATTTTGTTTAACTAATGTCATTGCGCGCACCCATGCACATTTTATGAATTGGGCCACATGTCAACCTTTTGACATGGTTTTGTATATTTAAAAAGAGTGTCAGGTTTGGTAGGAATTAAGTTACCTTTGTTCTTACACTTGTTTCCCACTATATGTTCTTTTTGTGTTCTTAATAAAAAACAAAACAACAAACTACTAACCTAAATTATTTTGTTCTTCACATTAGGGTTGCCAGCTTTCTAATCACACAAAACTGAACACTCTTGCTCTGCCCTGCCCCCCTGTTCACTCCTTCCCCCCTTCCCCTATTGGTTGCTCTCCCCCACCCTCACTTACTTTCACCAGGCTGAGGTGAGTGCTGTGGTGTAGGAGGGAGTGAGGGATCCAACTGGGAGTGCAGGCTCTGGGGTGAGCCTGGGGATGAGGGGCTTGGGGTGCAGGAAGGGACTCAGGGCTCAGACAGGAGGTGAGGGGGGGTAGGAGGGAGGGAGTTTGAGAGCAGAAGGAGATTCTGAGCCAGTTCAGGTGGTTAGAATGCTGGAGAGGGTCGGGAGTGCAGGTCCTGATGGCGCTTGCACCAGCACCCAGGAAGCAGCTCACAGGACCTAGGCATGTGTTTACATGTTTGAGACTGTATAAGATAGTGAACACCTTGGGATTCCAGAAATTGAAAAAGGAATGTAAATCTTTGATCTGTACCTTCACCGTATGTCTGTCATTTAGCCATTTTACTACTTCACAAAACTATGTGGTTAAAGTGAAATTGTTTAAAGTAAATCTGTCAGATATGGACTTTTGTTTGATGGATCGGATAGTCCTTCTGTAGTCTTACTATATTTCCTCTTCATTTGTTGTTCTTGAAAAAGTTATAAATTAATCCCAGAAAACAAACAGCTAAACTAACATTGACTATGCCCTAAGTAATATTCATATTGTTGCTATCAAGGAATGCATTTCTGTGACTGTTAGAAAGTGGACTGGTTGAAAAGAGCTGTGCATCAGTATCTACAAAGTTTTGTTAATCTTTTGATATATTCTGTTGCAATGAAGTGCACATTTCAGGAGTTATGCTTTTAAGCCTAATAGGATGGCATTTTTTCTTAGCATTTTGAGTCCAGTGAATAATTATTTTAATGAAATTGAATAACAGGCAGTTTAATATTTCATATTTTACATTCAGTAAGAAAGAGACTTCGGTTTCAGGCTTCTAGGCATTACTAAGTTTGTTCAGTATTATGGAAACTAGTGTGATAGTCCCATCTTTATGACTAAGATGGCAATATTTATTTTAATAATGAAATATAGCTGTTTAATGCAATGTTTCTCAACCAATGGTACGAGCGCCCTTAGTAGGGTTGCCAGGTGTCCAGTTTTGAACCGGATAGTCTGGTATTTGAGGGTTCTGTCCGGGAAACCAAATTGAGAAAATACCGGACATATAAAATGTTTGGTATTTTCTAATTAGGTACATTTTATTATTCGGAGTATCAGTACGTAGTTGCGAACTGCCTGGCTGGCAGACACGCCCACACTGCATGAGTGTGTCTATCAGCCAGGCAATACGCAACGACATGAGGAGGGGGCGGGAGGGAATCCCTGGGGCCGGATTTGCTTGTGCTTTGCCGGGACCGTATGCGGGACGGGCAGCACCCCGGGATTAATTAGGTACATTTTATTATTCGGAGTATCAGTACGTAGTTGCGAACTGCCTGGCTGGCAGACACGCCCACACTGCATGAGTGTGTCTATCAGCCAGGCAATACGCAACGACATGAGGAGGGGGCGGGAGGGAATCCCTGGGGCCGGATTTGCTTGTGCTTTGCCGGGACCGTATGCGGGACGGGCAGCACCCCGGGATTTGCATGCACCTGGATCAGTCCCACTCCCCGACTCCTTCCCAATCTCCCCCGGCCAGCCCCAC